GGGCCCTGCCCCCCAGCCAGGTCCTTCCTATAGTGGCAGTACCTGGCCCAGCATGCGGGGACCACATGGAGCTGAGCCAGGTCCTGCCGGCCCTGGGGCTGCTCATGTGGTGGCACCAGCAGCTCCAGGGCCGGCAGGACCCAGCTCGGCTCTGTGAGGTCCCCGCGTGCTGGGTTGGGGAGTATGAGCCAGCTGGGGCCAGCAGGACGCAGCTTGGCTCTGCACGGTCCCCACATGCTGATCCGGGCCAGGCACCATGAGCTGCATGGTCCCTGGACAACTCATGCTCCCCGGCCTGGCCCGATGTGCGGGGACCACATGGAGCCAAGCTGGGTCCTGCCGGCCTTGGGGCTGCTCGTGACCCCTGGCAGCCAGGCGGCACGAGCAGCCGCCGGGTGGCAGGGCGGTCCTGTCAGCATGGGCCAGGCCCCAGGGCTGGCTCCCACCTCTGCCCCGTGCCTGCAGGGGTGTGGGGAGGGTGGGAGGGGTGAGGACCTGTCCCAGCCCCATGTGGCTGGTTAGTCCGGCTTTGCACCGGAGCGGGTCACAGGGCTCCAGAAGGCGCAGCTCCTGTGTGCGCCTCCCGGAGCCTTGCGACCCGCTCCAGTGCAAAGCCGGACTAGTGAGCCTCAGGTATCTGGGCCAGGTCCTCACCCCTCCACAGCCCCAGGGACATCCTTCCCCGCCACTTTCCAACTCCACCCACCCCCACATCCCCCTGCCACCCCTCACCCACCCACACCCATGCTCATCTGGACGTGCCCTTAAAGTTCTTACAGTCCTGTCCTACTGCACCCAATGGGAGTTTTGCCATTGACTTCTATGCCAGTAAGATCAGGTCCCAAGTATTGTGCCGATTATCACAGTATCTCCCAGACATCACTAGAACATGCAAAAGAACCTAAAGTTTCACTCCTGGTAGATTGGTTGCAAATGGCTGTGTGTCAGATCATAGCTTGAAAAATGCTAAGAATCACTGGTCCTGCCATCTGATGCCCAGAAGGTAAAACAAAAGGAAAGGAATAAGTAAAGCATGCTGTGGTCTTAATGCTAGGCACTGTCTCTTTTGCCTGTGTGAATGCCCCTGCCTTTCATAGACTTGGGAAAGAGGAGATCCGGGCTGTTATATAGAACCTGAACCTCTTGGCTCCGTGACTAACAAGCCATTATTGGAAACAGGTTCTGGGAAAGAGGCCAGAAACAATAGTGACAAGAGGGTAGGATTTATGCATGAGAAGCCAGAACCGAGATTAGTTGACTGAAAAGGAAAAGTTAGAAATGATCTGACTGAAGGGTCCAAAATGATGACGAGCCTAGGTGACATCCTCATCCTCTCAGGCCTACAACAGGACATAAGACAGACTTGTAAAATTAAAACACAGAAAAATTTAAAATAAAAAAAACCATTTACATAGCATAAGTTACAGCTATCCTATGGAACTAGTATGAAACAAAACACTGTACAAGAATGAATGGACACATGGTCTGCTCCAGTTTGGTAGAAGATGGGACAGTAGACCAGACAGGCCAGTTACCTGATACTATATGGCAATTCCTATACTCCAGTATACCAATTCCAGAAATACTTTAAAGAAACATCACCTGTTTCTTTTATGATCCCACCAGTCAAGGGAACCAGCTTTTGGCTCTTGCCCTGCAATATAGCCCTTCACAGAAGTGATTTTACCTTCTTATGGGTGGCCTTGGTCTGAGGCAGCAGGTCAACATCCAGTGTAGGTACAGAATGCTTGTGTTTGTGTACAAAGGCTTGAGACTCCTTCCTGTCTTTGTCTATAGCAAGAAGAAAGAAGAATGGGAATACTGAGGGACTGATGCCAAAGCAACACAACCAGAGAGCATGTCAGCTGAATTGGACATGAGGCAGCATGCTCCCCCTTTTTGTTCTATGATGTCTTGTAACTGACTTTGGAACACAGAGGTGAAAAGGAACACAGTGTATCTCGCTACTGCAAGATATCAAATAAGGGATCATCTCAAAGAAATAAAAATAGCAAAGGTGATATCATGGTTATATATCAAATGAGAAATATTATGTTTAGGGGAAATTACCTTTCCTTAACTTAAAGAAAGGATGGTCTTGTGACTAGGAAATTTGAGTTCTATAAATGGCAACCTGCGTGAATTGTGACAGGTCACCTGAATGCACATTGCCTCAGTCTCCCCAACAACAACTATTTCCCTACCAAGGTGCTCAGTTACTGCAATGATGTGTGCCACAAACACCAACTGAAAAATAAATCCATCAAAATCTTCTGCTCTTTGTAGCACAATCACACTTCATTTGTATTCCAGGTTTCTGAGGGCTCCTTAAACCAAATCAGTGAGATTTGCTGGTTAGTTATGTTCTAATCAATTTTACCGCTTGAGTCCACACCGTCAAGCTATCCACCCAGTATTCACTGTGGTCTTAAATCTGTAGACACTTATGTCCCTGAACAGCCCCAGTGAACCTAATAGGACTTTTCATGGGCTTCAAGTTAAGCATGGGTATAAATATTTGGAAGATCAGGGCCTAAATTCCCCACACCTCTTCCAAGAGATTCACTGGACTCAAAACTTGGGATGAATTCTCTGCAAGCAAAGTAAACTTTGTTTCAAAGTCCCAGTCAAGAACCCAGAGCTATATCCAGGATGTGAAAAGATGAACTACTGGTACATTCAGAATCTTTCAAACGTATGACAAATTAGTTTTTTTGATATCCCAAGTGCAAGACAATACTGAGTGCTGCTCAAGATATTGGTGGGTTTTATACCCCAGTCTGGATAATCCCAACAGAAAATGTTCTAATTTGAGACTCCACTGGGAAGGCAAATATGAGTATACCCAGTATTAACTGGCAGAAAATAGTCTAATCTGGAGCTCCTTATGTACTCATCTACCCAGCAATGATGCCCAAACTATGTGCATATAAAACATATATGCCTCTGTCCGTGGCTGCCTGGTAGTGCTTTTTCTCTCTTCTGAAGCTCTTCTGTATTGTGTGTGGCTTTGATGACTCCAAATCTTCGAGCACCTTCAACGACAACAACAACACACACAAAATATGGTGATGGGTGAAAGGACCTCATTCCTTTCAAAGTTATGGAGTTTAGGAACAAAAGGTTCTGTAACACTTTCAGCAGCTACTTGAGCTTCCATGTTTTAAGTTTTCAAACAATGTAATTCTACAATCAATTAACTCTATTTTTTAATTTTCTGCGGCTCCTTTTTGTATTTTATTCCTTACAATTGTTCTTTCATTCTCTTCTCTCTAAAACACACAATTAGTATATTCACTACATCCCCACTTGGAATTGCAAGACTGCTCTAATTTTGCAGTATCCTTCCACTAATTTCTTTATCACCTTTAATACAGTACATTATTAATTTCCAGTACCTGGATTCTCCCAAAAAGGAGCAAGACCCTATGATTTCTGAAGTACCTACCCTGATAGAATCATGAATTGCCTAACGTTGCGTCAGGAGATACTTCTGTGCCCATGCTTTTCCTTGCTGTGTGATCTCTACTCACCAGGCCAATACCATGGTATCTTTTCAAATCCAATTCAAAACGAGCGATTTTCTTGTTCACTTCCTGCATGCTGCCAATGAGGCACTCTGAGAACGAAGGTATGTTAAGGAACCTCTTTGGAGAGTATTAATAGCATAATAAACTACACAAAAATTCTGCTACTACTCTTTTTTCTCTTACTTTACTTTTCCTCCCTTGTATTTCTTTTCTATTTTTATTGTGTTCTCTCTTGTTCCCCAATCACCGTGTCCTGTTATCTGGTAACTCCATACTCCAAACCTTTCAGGAAAGCCCCAATAACACCTTACAGGGGTACAGATTGTAGCCGTGTTGGTCTAAGGACATAGGCAGACAAGGTGCTTTGGGTGAATCTGATATCTTTTATTAGACCAACTTAAATAGTTGGAAAACAATTTTTAAGCAAGCTTTCGGGTTCAAAAACCCTTCGTCAGGCTAAGGAAGTTTCAGCAGTTGGTGTGTGCTCTTCCTGGATGGAATGAAAAGTAAAGAAGCCAGAGGCTTGGCTGGTATGCATACAAGATAGGCAGTCAGTGAAAATGCAGACTGAGGAGTCAGTGGGTGAGAGACAGGCTGGGTGGTGCGGGGGAGAGAAGGGGGATGAATAGTGGAGAAGTACCTGGGGAGTCAGATGTCAGGCAGGTTATAATGTGTCATAAATCCAATGATTTCCGGATCTTACAGCTGCGCCTCCAGAAATGTAATATATCTCATCCAATGCACAAAATGCCCAGATGGAAAATACATAGGAGAGACCAAACAACAACTGCGCACCAGAATGAACACACACTGGAAATCTATCTAAGACAAGAATACCTAATTACTTGTGGGGGCACATTTCTCACAAGAAAATCACTCTCTCCAATCTCTCAGTCCTGATCCTCAAGGAAGCTTACAAAACACTTCCCAGTGATGAGCCTATGAACGCCACTTTATCTACCTCCTGGATACTAAAAGTCATGGACAAAATATAGACATTGGATATATGTTGCATGATTTTTTTTTAAAACCACGCAGTCTATTTCAAAATCTCAGGGAATGTTCCAGACAAGGTTCCTTGGGTGAATTTGATATCTTTTATTAGACCAACCCAAATGGTTGGAGAATAGTTATTAAGCAAGCTTTCGGGTTCAAAAACCCTTCGTCAGGCTCAGGAAGCTGCAGCAGTTGGTGTGTGCTCTTCCTGGAGGGAATGTTCCAGGAATTCATGGGCAGAACATGAATGATTTTGATCAAGTCAGGCTTTTTCCCATTTTCCAGTTTTTGTCAAAAATCAAAAGGGGTAGAAGGGTGGTGAGAGAGGCCTAGATGTAGTAGATGGTAAGCTGATGGTAGGCACTTTCCTGGGTCTATAGCTCAGTCTACGTAAGCAAGGAAAAGAAGTGTGTGACCATCTAGTGTCTGCTGTCCACTATACTGGCAAAAGATATTTGAAGGTTTTTCATCCAGGCCCTGCTGGCTGGTGTCAGTCTCCTCTGCATGCTTCAAAGGCAATATCCCCAGGAATTCTCCAAATGAGGTCATTGATGCAGTGTGGTTAGCCATTTTTCCAGTGCTAAATACCAACTAATTCCTAGCAAAGGGGAAATAGACAAAGCATTTCCATTAAAAATTAGGGTTATCAATTAATCACCATTAAAGTGTGCAGTTAAGGAAAGAACCAATTAACATGTTATTTTTTTAACCCGTTAATCTCACACATGATTTGGAGCCTGTGCCTGGGCTGTCCTGCCCCACTACCGTCACGGCTGCATCTGGGCTGCCTCTGGGGCAGCGGTGGCAGTGCAGAGGAGCCATATGGCAGCCCGGGCACAGGCTCCAGGCAGCTGCAGCAGGAAGGTGTAGGAGGGGGACACACCTACACACCCACCCCCCATTCAGGGCCCCGAGCAGCTGGGCTGGCAGTGCCAGGGGTTCATGGAAGCTGGCACCGGGCCATGGCAGGGCTGCCTGGTGTCACAACCCAAAGTTGTGGTTTTTTGTGTTTGAGTGTGCTTCGGCATCGCTAAATCATGTTCCCGCCAAATTGCAGCTCTTTTGCACGGTGGAGTATTCTGCTGCAACAGAGAACCCGCGTGCAGGAGCTTTTCCCGCCAGTTCTGTAGCTTTCTTTGCATAGTGCATTTCTTTTGCATTATAGTAATGCCCGATGCAAGGAGTCCCTGCCATTTGTATTAGGATTCGCGCCACATTATTGGCCAGTCTTAATGTAAGCAAACGTGGCGGCTAGCTATTGGCTTGCTAGCCGTACAAAAGGCTTGGGTGGTTTCCGCCCAAATCGGAGAGAGAGAAAGCACGTGGAGTTCGGGAAAGGAGCGTGAGGATCTCTAAGTGCTGCTGATCCATACGAACCCAGCTTTTTCCTTAAGAGGGCAACAGAGGTTTAAATTGTCGAACCCACGGAGCTTCAACAACTCCGCGGGACTTATTTACCGTCCCCTTGGAGCCTTAACGACTCCGAGGCAACTAACCTCTAGCCTCTCCCCATCGCCGATCGGAGCCCAGACATATCCCTATCCTAAGGACCCAATTGTCGAGCCCACGGAGTTTAACAGCTCCGGGGGACCTGGGAGCCGAGTAACACTCACGGAGATACAGCTGCTCCATGGGAACGAATTCTTGAACCCCGCGGAGCCTGATTTACTCTGGGGTCAAGGAACCGAGTTTATTAGAGTCCCCCACCGAGAACTCAAGCGGAGCTGAGCCTGGAAAGCTGACCAGCCTACACCGCGACCACCTTGGGTGTAAGTAAATAATCTTTTCAATCAACCATTACGCCTCCGTGACTGATTCTAGTTTGAGCGTACCAAACCGCGCCGCGGTTTTTTTCCAACCCCGTGCACCCGGGCTACCGGCCACAGCCTGTGTACACACAAAGATGGGCCCCCGGCTCACCCCGGCTCGCACATGGCGACCCAGATGGGATCGGGAGAGAGCTCGCACATGGCGATCCAGGCGGGATCGGGAGTCGGCCCGCACACCTGGCACCCTTGGGCCCCATGGCTTGGGCTTGGGCTTGGGGCAGGTTGGGACTGCCTGGGAGCTCTGGCATCAGCTGCCTCCAGACCTGTGGGTCCCTGTGCATCCCCGGTCCAGGCCCCCAGGGTGTGGTGGTGATGGTGGGTCCACACCCCTGTGGGGGCAGCCGCAGCTGGTGGGTGGGGGAGGGATTCCTGCAGAGCCACCTTCCCCAGCCCCCAGCCCACACCACGCCACATGCCCAGCCCCAACCTGGTGCCACTGGAGACTTAGCTGCGCCCAGTGCTGCCACCACCGCCAAGCTGGGCAGAGCTGTCGCCCTCCTCCCTGCACCGCACGAGCTTCTGCTGGTACCCGGTGGGTCCAGTGGCTCCATGCAGGTCCTGGCAGGACCCTAGACAGCACAGGAAGGAGAGCGGTGGCTCTGTCTGATGCTGTGATGGCACTGGGTGTAGCATGAGCTCCAGTGATGCTGGGCTGGGGCCAGGTGTGCAACATGGTGCAGGCCGAGGGCTGCAGGAGGTCACTGTGCAGGAATTTCGCCCCTGTCTGATGGCAGCGGCTCTTTCCACAGGGGCACAGGGCTCAGGGCACGGGGCTGCCATTGCTACTGCTCACTGGGGCCCTGGACCAGGGATGGGTGAGGGCCCATGAACCCAGAACCGGCTTGTGCCAGAGCTTCTAGCAGTCCCAACCTGCCTCAAGCCCAAGCCGTGGGGCCCAAGGGTGCCAGGCAGCCCCACCACAGTGGCTCTGTGTGGGTCCTGGCAGGATGCAGAATCTGGATGGCTGCAGCAGGAAGTGGGGGGAGGGGGGCACATCCAGGCCGAGGGCAGCTCTGTGGAGACCCTGCTCAGATTAGGCATCCTGCCCCCCTCCCTGGGCTCCAGACCCCCTTGCAGGCTACCCCACTCCCCAGGCTCCAAACCCCACATACAGACCCACAACCCCCTGCACCTTTACAAATTCCCCCTCCATACACAGATTCCCCCACACCCACACAAAGTACCTGCATAATTTTGAATTTTTAACTGCGCGATTAAAATCTCGATTAATTGTGACAATTTTTTTTAATTGCGCAACTAATCATGATAAAATTTTTTAGTCGTTTGACTATTTTTTGCCTCTAAAAACAAGCACCCTTTGAGAAGTATTGAATGTTGTTCACAGTGGGTTCATACTAGAATTTCTCTTTTTGACCCAGGTACAACAGACAGCTTACTTTATATGGAAACCTCAGGACTTTGGGGGAGCCCAGGGGAGAGTATCCTCTGTAGATGATTCTTACCATAAACAACAGAAACAGCTAGACTGTGTTAGGCCAAAGGAGATCTCAGTAAGCTCAGGTCTTTCCAGAATACTTAACAAAGAGACTGACAGAGACTTATTTTGGGATGCCACCAATTCCTTCCCTGCCATTCTGGCTATAGGTACTTATTATACTTTTATAATTTTTGTGGCAAACCCTTTATTATAATTCAGCAGTGCTTTATACACAGGAAAATATAATAAACAGGAAATACAAGATACAAGGTAAAAGAAACACTGAGTCCCAGGGTGACATTAAGTTCTCTGGCTATGTTAGCATTTTAGCATAGGAGGCAAAACCCATAGTCCTTCTTTTGGCAAATGAACAACAACCAACCCTAGCAAAAGGTCTTGTATGAATATATCAACAAAGATCCCTTTGATTTCAGAAAGCATTGGGATAGGAGGGAAGAACCAAAAGCTGGGCCAGTCCAGATGGTCATACAATCATAGACAATGAGGACTGGAAGGGACTTCAGGGGCGCAGACAGAAGTGACTATTTTTGCCTGATCTGGCCCCCGAAAGCAGTCTACAGTCATGACCAAACAGAAGTGCATGGCTGCAGACCACTTTAAAAGGGTCCAATTCCGTGAAAATCTGAACCCTCATTGCACAAGGGTTCAGATGAACACACTCCAAAATGGAGCATGTTCTGTAAGCTGTGTCTGCAGAGCTCCCAGTGTGTCAATGTTTTCAGAATAGGAATGGGAGGGAAGGGAGTAGAGTTTGGTTTGGGGTTTTTTCAATGAGTGCTGGGTGGAGCAGGTGGACTGGAGCCCCCCAACCAAGTGCCAACTAGGGTACCCCAAGAACGATCTTCCTCTGCTCCCCCCCCCCATTCTGAAAACAGTGTGGGGGCCGGGATGGGGGAGTGGCGGTGCTAGAGACCAAGCTTCAGCAAGCAGCTGGAATCCCCAGCTCCAGGGCCTGACTTCTGTTTGGGTCCAGGGCAGGGGCAACCCGAGCAGGGTGTGGGGCCTGGGGCAAATCAGCCTGTGTGGGACCCTGCCTCCGTAGGTGAGGAAGCTGGCGGCAGATTTGGTGGGGGAGGGTGCCAAGTAGCCGGATGTGAAACCGGCCGCAGCACGGAGTTGCTGCAGTCGCTTCACCTGGCTCCACAGGGTCCCCCCAAAGTGCAGGGCTTGGGGCAGTCGCCCCAATTCACCCCCCACCCCCCAGGATGGCCTCGGTCCAGGGGGATCGCTGCAACTCAGAGCGCTTCCTGCAAAGCTATATGAGCTGTAACAGGTAGTTCCTCTTCTGTCTGCACCCATGACGTCATCTGCTCCACTGGTTCTCTACCTTTTTTGTACCAGGACCCATTTGTAAACATCAACGGCCAGTCCCGACTCAGCGCCCCTCACTGCAGACCCACTTCCCGTCACCCCCAAGGCCCCAGTCCCACAATGTGTGGGGCAGGAGGTGGGTGTGGGGCAAGGGGAGACCCAAGCAGCCCCTTGCAGACTGGATCTCCACCAGCCTGCACGAGAACAGCCATGGTTTCCCATTTTTCTCCTTTAAAGGAGAATCCATTTTGTTGATCCACTTTTAAAGTTTGTTTGGCCACTAAGTAGACTCAAGCACCAATGGGACTGGTAATGTATACCAGCGCAGAACAGAAATCAGGGTATGTGTATGTACTAAGCACTTAATCAATAAATGTGGTGTCTTGCCTTGTCCCCTCTTACAAAGGTCTCTATTTTGAGCTATTGGTTAACAAGCCCCCCAGTGTGTGGGGCAGGGGAAAAAGGGAAAAGCCATGGTTTCCCACATTTTTCTCCTTTAAAGGAGAATCCATTTGCTGATCCATTTTTAAAGTTTGTTTCTGACCCTTTCATATATTCTTGTGACCTAGGGGTTCAGAAACGCTGATGTAGTCCAACCCCCTGCTCAAAGCAGGACCATCCCCAACTGGATCATCCCAGTCAAGGCTTTGCCTACCTGGGTCTTAAAACCCTCTGAGGATGGAGATCCCACATGGGTGCCTTAAGGCGTTAATGTACCCATGCCGTTTAAAGGCCCCTCACGTCAGGAAGCTGGTCCCTTGATGCTGCAGGGGCCAACATACCCGGGCAGGGGAGCGGGTGCAGACCGTCTGCACCTTCAGACCAGGGCCTGACACCAGCCAGCCCCGGAGACGTTCCACTGTCAACTTCCTCTATGGTCCGTTTGCCGTTTTCTTGCGTGCCAGCCACCAGTCTGACGCGTGGGACAGCGCAGCCCCCAGGCAATCCCGCGATAAAGGTCACGTCTCTCAGGGCTTTGGGAGCGACTCTGCAGCGCCCCCTCCCGCGTCTCCTCTGCCCATGACGTGATGCTCACGGAGCTCGCGTGGTACCTCTGCTACCCGCGCCAGAGGCCCCCACGGGGACGAGACCCAGGCTGCGCGCGCACCCCCACCCGTACCCGCCCAGTGGCGAGTCTCCAGACAGGCTTCATACCTGCCAGTCGCGTGGCGTCTCTCCGTGCCCATGGCAACCGAGCGGAGCGAACCATTCGCCACAACGGTCGGGTTGGGGGAGGAGCGGCCGCTCCCATTAGGCGGTGGAAGGGGGGGATTAACCAAGTGGTAAATCACTAGAACGAGAACGGAGCTGACCAACATGCTAAGCATATACCCCCTCCCCCCCAGGATCCGTACTAATGGTACAGTGTCTTAAAAACTGTCCCTTTCTCAGCCGTTCCAGTCGCTACCAAGCTGGAATGTGGGGGGAGGGAATCGCATCTGATAGCGGTGCCTATCGTGAGCACGTATACACACGAACCGCCCCATTAGTGAGGAACCCCTTTGGGCGAAAGCAGATTTTCATGTCTATCTGAATATAAAATGACTTTGACCTCCCCCGTTTCCAGGACTCCCCCCTGCACAGTGGTAGGATCCTAGCCTCCTCCCTCGAGATGGTACATTCCACTCCCTAGCCGCTGCCTTCCTTGGCGTTTCAAGGAATCGGAGCGACTGCGCCTGCGCAGACCTGGGCTGGAGTGGAGGACGGTTGCGGCGTTGGGCATTGGTGAGGCCTGGCAGGACCCGGGGGGAATCCCGAACATATCAGCCTCGCTCTCTATTTAAAGGGCCAGTGCCTGTAGCGCCCGACACCCCGAGCCCCGCTCCTCCCACGCGCCGCGGGTGGCTCCGCACCCCAGCCCCCCTCCCCTGTCAGCGTGAGGGCACGTGACGGCGCCAGGCCCCGCCCTCCAGTGCTTTTCAGCCGGGTGCAGCTGCCGGGTCCGGTACCCAGTACAATTGCGCGAAGCCGCCCTCTTTGGGGTGTACCATCTGCACGGGGGCTGGGGTGGGCAGAGCTGGACCAGAGGAAGCCACTGGGCTCAGGAGCGGGCTCTACTGCCTGCCTGGGGTGTGTGGGAGCCCAGAGGCTGGGGAGCACAGGCAGCGCTCTGGTTGAGAGCCCCTGATCTCGACTTGGCTCTGTGGGAAGGGGCAGGTGCTGTTGCCCATGGTGATGGCAGTGCGGTGCTGCCTCAGGGCCCCTCCTGGGACAGCAGGTGGCTGCCTACCACCACCCACACCTCCCAGCCAGCCTGTGTCTGAGGTGTCGCCCTGCCCTGCCCTGCCCTCTGCCTAGCCACCGCTGATGGGACCCCGCCTCTCTCTGCCCACACTCACTCTCAGGAAAATCAGAGCCACCCCTAGTGTAGTCTCCTCCCCACACTCCCAGCGCAGCCCCCACCCCCTGCCTTCTCTGCAGGGAGCGGGGCGGGGGGCTGTGCGGGGATGGGAACTGTACTGGGGGCAAGTGGGGACTCAGTGCTCCAAGCGGGGGGCTGTGCTGAGGGACTGGGGGAGGAGGCAGGGGGACTGTGCTCGGGGTGGGGAGCTCACTGTGACTTCTCTTCCCTCCCTGTTCAGGGAACAGGTGGCCACCATGCCCCTCTTTGGGAACACTTTCAGTCCGAAGAAGACGCCCCCCCGGAAATCAGCCTCCCTCTCCAACCTGCACTCGGTGAGTGCTGGGGCTCCGGGCTGTCTTTCCTCTTGCCTCCTGGCTGCTTGGAAACAAGGGGCTGACTTGCCTGAGACAAGTTAATGCCATCATTGTGGAAGAAGCGTTAGACCCCTCACCTCTTCCCTTACACCACTAATTCTTATCCAGGGTGCTGGGAGATCTTTTAAGAGTGCTGCATTGTTCAGTATGAGCACTGTTGGGTGTACAAACACCTACACCTGGTTCACAAGATAAACCCAGAGATTTCAAGTAGGAATCCACAGTGTCAAAACTCATTCTGATCTGGTGTGGGCTCTCTGAGTTCCCTGCAATGGAAAAAATGCTCTATTATTTTTCTCTAGTCAAGAAACAGTTGAAAGCTCAGAGCTGGCATTTTTCTGATGGGGTGGGGCTCAAGTCTAAAAAGGTTGAGAACCACCACCTTATGTCTTCCCTACATAGAGAGGTAGTTAGCTATGTAAGCTTGAAGTTAGGTGAAAGGTGGGGCAGGGTGGCACCTTTATTGTTTCTCTCCTGGTATGGTTCAGGCATCTATGCTTACTGGCAACTGGACACTGAAAGTCAAATGTTATGTCTCAGGTCAGATAAGTGGTATTGTGCCTCACCTCATTTGGAGTCCAGAGTCATGGTACCTGAAATTTCTAACATGCTCTTAATCTAGACCCCATTGAGACAGGTGCTTTCATTAACACTGGCAGCAGAGACAGAATGGCTCATGGAGAATGAACTCCTTTTCTGTACCTAGAGGTGGCCTTTTTAGGACTGAAGTATGTCTGTGTGAGAGAGAGTTTATCTACACATCTGCCTCTGCTGCCAGAAAGTCTGGCAGCTGACAGCAGCTACCACGTTGCCAGAGCATGTGAAGACCTGTGCACTTGCAGCGGTGCTGAATGGATTGCAGTAATTGTCTGAAGGTCCAAGATCATGTGCACTCACTTGGCTACCTGCTAGATGGTGAGAAAGCTTTACTTAATTCAACAGGTGTGGCTTAACCCTGCCAGCAGAGAGGACAGTTCTGCCACCACAGGGGAGCTTTGGGTGTGAACTCACACCAAGTTTTGCCTGCAAGAACTGAAGTTCTGCTACCAAGATGTTAGTGTAGACTAGGCCAGAGGGAGAAACTGGGGCTGCAGCAGTTTAGGTGGTGGTAAAAATTGAGATTTCAGACTTCGGGATTATTAATCTGGCACCCTCCACAATAAAACCTGTCGCTTTAAGAAAAATGAGGCTGCAAGGGGGGTGAGGGAGACAAAAAATGGGAAACCCTTCAAGCCAAAGTTTGTCTTTTCTTTCACAGCTGGACCGATCGACCCGTGAGATAGAGCTGGGCTTGGACTATGGCATTCCCACCATGAACCTGGCTGGGCAGAGCCTGAAGTTTGAAAATGGCCAGTGGATAGCAGGTGGGGAGAAGCTCCTGCTGCTATAGTTTTGGAGTGGTCCAGGAGTAACTTCATGACCACAATGTTGGCCCCTTTCTCTCCTAGAATCAGGAGGCAGCAGTGGAGATCACAGGGAAACACAGCGCCTGCGCAAACGGAACCAGCAGCTGGAAGAAGAGAACAATCTCCTGCGACTGAAGGTGGACATCCTATTGGACATGGTGAGGATAGGAAGGCCTGACTGACATTCATCTCCCTGTGGCAATCAGAAATGCTCTTGAAACAAAGTGAAGAGCTCTGGGAGAAAAGGCAGGTACCAGCCTGTGTACCCTGCTCCCTTTGAGAGTAAGCCTCTCTTCTCTACCCTGGTATGAGAGAAACTAAGCACTAGAGTGATCATGAGCATGAACACTGACTTTCCCAAAGAGAAGGTCCTTTCAACAGAAGAGCTGAAAAATTGTGAACACCATAGTAGAAAGGAGCTGCCCCTCACCCCCCACTGCCCCCTCCCCACCCGAGCACTGGATGATGTGGGAAGACAGAGCCCACAAACAGGTGTTCATTTCTGCTGGTGGAAATGTCTGAAAATGTCCACAGGTAGAAATCTTTATGGAAGAGGAAGTGTACAGACATTCAGATTGTGCCTCCCTGCTTCCCGCCCCCCCTACCCCACACACCTTCTTTGAGTGGAGCAGCAGGGAAGACTCACTGCACCTGCCCCAGACTGCAGTGTGGGGAGCAGACAGAAAACATCTCCTTCATTATTGACTTGGTCTCCAGGAGCACAGCAGAGGGAGCACTGGGCCAAAGCTTCCAACCCCATCCTCAGGTCAGGCAATGCCGAGTTTGGGGACAAGGAAGGGAACAGCAGTGGCTACTCGGATCTGTGCATCTGTGTTCCCTTCCTCTCCTGGACTAGTCTAGAAGTGGAGAGAAGAAGTGTAAGGAAGTACCCAAATCATTCCTCGGACCTGGGATTGCCCAGCTTGGAGAAGAGGTGGGAAGTAGTAGCTGCTGCTCCTCTTCCCTGTCTGGTCTGTGGGGGAGGGAAGCCATGGAGCAAAACTCCCAGCCCAGAACAAAGCCCCTAGCCCACTTTTCACATTGGAGTCCCCAGAGTGGGAGAACCTGACAGGGAGCAGTGAGGGGCTGGAGTGGCTGCCTGCTGCACCTTCTCCAGACAGAGGTGACCCCAGTCCCAGGGAAGGCACAGGAGCCTTTCCATTGGCTCTAATCCTCCTGTTCCCCAGGAGGAGTTAAGCTGGGAGAAAAGAAAGTGTACAGACATTCATTTGTCTGGGAGAAACTCTCCTAGGACCAATTTCCTTCTGGTTATAGTTAACTTATTTTTCTCCTGCCATGGGAGAAAAAGTGTGAGTGTTTGTACACTTTTGGTTTCTGCTCAAAGTAAGGCAGTTCTCCTGGTAGAAGATGAATGTCTGTACACGACCCAGAGTATTTACCCTCCTGTTAGTGTATTTCTGCTTTTCTGAGATTTGATTTTTCCGCAACTGGTCTCTGTACCATCAGTGAAACCAAAGCACTGGCCATTTGTGGTCACCAGAAATCTTAGGCTCCTTGAGGCCTTCCTGGTAGCTAATGTAACTATGCTCCTCTTCTGTTTGATCTTCATAAGAATGGAGGCAAAAGCTCTTTATGAACTGAAATACAGCTAAACCCAGGGATCACAGCTTCCCTGAGTAAGTTTTCTGAGTCACCTTGACAACTTGGTGAACCAACCACCTGTGTTTCAGTTCTCTGTTCGTAAAATGGGAATGCCATTTCTCCTCATGTAGGTAACAGCTTATTTGTTAATGTCTGCGAGGTCTTTGGACAGTGTGTGTTATGGAATTCAAAGTACCCTTTGGAGAAGTTCCTTGCTGCTTCTAGAGCAGGGGCAGGAAAAGTCCGGCCTGTGGGAGACCCCAGCAGCGGTGAGGCATGACAGCGTGGGGCCAGGGTTTCCATGGAGACCAGCCCTAGCAGTGCTGGCAGGATTATGGCTCTGCCCCAGTTCTGGATCACGCTGTCACTGCCACAAGATCCCAGCCCCGGAACAGCTCCCTGCCCAGCCACCTGCCATGTCAGCACTGCTGGGACTGGTCTCCATGGAAACCCTGGCCCCGCACTGTCGCAGCCCCACTGCTGCTGGGGTCTCCATGGAAACTGGCTGCAGCAATGCAGGCAAGGGCCGCTGGGAAATGGAGTCTGGCCGCCAGCCAGATCTGCCATTTTACTCACTCCTGTTCTAGAGTCTTGCATAGCATGTTGCAGACATGGCTGCTGTTTCACCCCAAAAGTGTTGGCAACATTTCTGCAGTGGGTGGGTGATCGATCTCTACTTGCACTGACTGTAGAGTCCTTTGTTACCCTGCTTGGTGAAAGGCGTTCCATAGATAAGAGTTAGATCAAGGGCATCAAATACATGGCCTGTGGGCTGGATGTGGCTAGCAGAGCCAAATGAGTTTGACAGCCCTAAGTCAGATGGTACTTTCCTTGCTCTAATACTAGCTATGCAAAGACACAATGCTGTGGGAAAGCATGGACCATTCTTACACTTTTTGCTTGGTTGTAGCTCTCTGAGACCACAGCAGAATCCCATCTGATGGAGAAGGAGCTGGAGGAACTGAAGAATCACAGCAGGAGAAGGAAGTGAACACAGTAAGGGCGACGAGCGTTAGGGGATTGGAGAGCAAGGGAATCTGGTTTGAAATCTCTCGGGCTCGCAGAGCTAGATCCAAGCCTGGTTGGCCTGACTTCACTGTCTCAGCACTGTAGCAGTGTGTCATTCCACAGGATGGGCAAACAAATTCCAAGGCTTGAAATGTTAGTGGGGCCTCCAAGACTGTCAGAAGTCATCTACTCTGCTTCCCCATAGAGCTTCTGTATAACTGCTGTCTCAGTGCTCTTAATAAGCTGCCTTGGTGCATGTTCTGTTATAAGCAAAAACCAGTTTTGCCCAAACCACTTTACTCAGTGCAAAGACCTTTCACTTGTGGCAAAGAGCAGGCAGTGGAGGCAATTAGCAGTGCTCTGGTCTGCCTGAGAAAACAAAATGTCCTTGGTGTATGTGAATGGATGGTAAGGAAAATCTCTTCATATACATGCCAAGCATGGTCTACAACTTCTGTTTGAGCCCCCTTACTGTTACCTTCAGCCTCACGACCCCCGTTGATTCCACCCCTGACTTCAGTTCTGAAAATCAGGAATAGGGGAGCATTTTTAAAGCCGTCTTTTCATTTCAGATATTTATTATTTTTCTAAATAGGTTAGCTCTGCCTTCTGCTGTTGGTAGGCAGGCTCCTGGCGTTGTTTATTCTCTTGAGTGTTTCATATGTTTTTATAAAGTTAAACTAAACCAAATCATGCTGCTGTTTCTGTTCCGTTCTTGTGGAGGCAGGAATCTTACTGCAGAAGTACATTAAATATTATGGTGGCACATGAAAGTCTCTGCTCAGGTTAGGGTCTCCTTGTGCTGGATCCTGTGCAGATGTGCAGTGAGGAATCAGAATCATCTCTGAAGCACTGAGGATTTGAGTATGCAGGATGGACCAAAGGTGGGAGAGGGAAGTGATAACAGAGACTTGAAGAGATTCAGTGCAGTGATACAGGTTGGGGGGCAGAGTTGGGGGAACACAGAGTATCAACCAGAAGTGGGGACGGGAAGGACTTCCAGAGGTCATCTAGTCCAACTGCTCACCAGAGGCAGGATCATTCCTATCTAAACCAAACATAAACTCTGTCCTGAGTCTCATTACAGTGTGCTGCCCCCCACAACAGCATTTACCTCCCTATCACTGTGAAGTGCTCTGCGCTTCCTGGACCAGGCTCCAGCTCTGGCCACCTGCTGCAGCAGAGGAGATAAGTAGGTGGGGAAAGAGCTAGTTTTTCTGCATTGGTGTTTGTGTGGGTGCATACGGGTAAAAGCTGCCCTTACAGATGCACAAACTAGAGGACAATCTAGCTAGCATGGCAGAAGTAGGCAAGGCTGGCAGCCACAATGGGGGCATGGGCAAGCAGTGTGTGTGTGTTGTGCCCTCCAGTTCCTGGAGTTAACCTCATGTTTGGGGGGTGGGGGGTGTCCTATCTTCTAGTTACTGGTGTCAACCTCCTGTTTGGTGGGGGGGAGTGTATATTGTGCCCTCCAGCCTCCTGTTTGGTGTGTGCTGTCTCAGCACAATTCCTCTAGTGAGATGGTGTAGACAGCTCCAACACCTAATATAACTGAGTGGTGTCCAGGAATAACTCAGTGGTTCTATTTGAAGCAGTTTCCTCTAAGACTGCTACAACTTCATGCCAAAGGAAAAAGAAAGATTTTTGCCTTGGCACACTGTTATAGAACAATCCAGCTGAACACACAGAAGGAGTGAGGCGTATGTAAATGTGTGTATGCACGTGTATATGTATGTACGTATGTGTACATGTGCGTGTAAATGTGTATGGATGTGTACATATACACAGTACGGGGCAGCAGAGGTCGGAGAAGCAGTCGCAAGCCCCGGGGCGACGAGCAGCGGCGCCCTCCAGGCCGCCGGGGGCGCTCATGCGGGGAGCCCACCCCCTCCTTCCGGCGCCGCTCTCCCGTTCGCCGCGCCTCGCCTGCCCTTCCGCTTCCGGCGCTGCCCTTCCCCCACCCTGTCCTCAGCGCCCGGTCTCTCAGTCATGGCGGCCCGTGAGCCCCGAGGACCTGCTGCCCAAGGGCGGCGCGGGCAAGGCCGAGGAGCTGGAGGAGGAGCTGGACGATGACGACGACGACGAGGTGCGGGGGCCGCCACGTGCTGCGGGGGGGAGGGGGCAAGGGGCTGCTCGGGCGGGACTGAGCCGCTGTCGCCGCCTGCAGCTGGACGAGACGCTGAGCGAGCGCCTGTGGGGCCTGACCGAGATGTTTCCGGACCGCGTGCGCGCCGCGGCCGGCGCCACCTTCCACCTCTCCCTCTCCGTGGCCCAGAAGATGTACAGGTGAGGGGGCGGGGCGGGGCTCGCCTGTCCCCTCCTCCCCAGCCCTGATCTCCCTCCTCCTCACTGCTGGGGCAGGAGAGAGGCGAGCCAGTGATTGTTACTGTCGTCTGTGTGTGCACGTGTCTGTGCATGCCCATGTTCCGCAGATTCTCTCGGGCGGCGCTGTGGATCGGCACCACGTCCTTCATGATCCTGGTACTCCCCGTTGTATTTGAGACTGAGAAACTGCAAATGGAGCAGCAGCAGCAGCTGCAGCAGCGACAGGTGAGGCACACAGGAGCCCCCCACCCTGGGGCGCGCTCCTGTTCTCTTTATGGTGCAATCCTAAAGGAACTGGGTGGGAAGGGGCCTGCAGAGGTCATGTCTAGTCCAGCCCCCTGTGCAAGGCAGGATCATCCCCATCCAGAATCTATATGATAAGACTGCCAGGTCAAGTTGCAGGTAAGACGTTTAGGTTAGATATTAGGAAAAACTTTCTCAGGGGAGCAGAGCACTGTAACAGGCTTTTTAAGACCTAGGTAGACAAAGCCTTCACTGGGATGAGATACCTGGGGCTGGTTATGCTTTGAGCAAGCGCTTGAACTAGATGTCCTCCTGAGGTCCCTTCCAGTTCTCATTTTCTATGGTTCTCTGACACAGCACAGACATGACATCCTCACCTGCCACAGGCAAAGCAGAGGAACCACAGCAGCCAGTGTTCTGCATCTATAAAATGTCAATACAGGCTCAAAAGATTCTGGGGAGAGGTGTACACCCCCAACTACAGAGGAGGGTAAAAATGCCCACAGTTCCTACCAGTGTGATCATGGGAGAAAATAACTTGGCAGATAGCAGATGCCAATGGGACTTGGGAAGAAGCATGAATCTTGTGCATTGGTTCAGTGCCTGGGATTCCCTGTACCCCGTTGCCATTACACTAGGAACGCAAGACATGTTATGAAGAAGTAAACTGGCATGGTTTTGTATTTGATTATGGTCTGTAGGCCAGGAGATAAATTCAGGATGACTTGATTTTTCAATCAGTACCTGAAATCCTAGTGACATCAGTGGGAAAATTGTCACAGATTAAAAGGAAAGCACAACCCCTTTGTAGTAAATAAACTTAGTTTTTCCTGCATTTTCTTCTTTGGTGCATCTCCCACCGTGTTTCGTGTGCTAGTGCAATCAATTAATGCTGACACTGGCATGCTGTTAGTGGGTTTTGTACCAGATGCTTCAGTAGGATTACTAGGGGCAAGGAGTTAATCACTGTAATACCCTATTATAGGCTGGCTACAGACTCAGGCAGACATGACATTGGTTTACGCTTGGTTCAGTTGGAAGATTCCCTCTGTAGCTGTAAGAGTCAGAAATCAACCTTCTTATTACAAAAAGAAAAGTTTGTTCTGCACTATTAGCATGATGTATTTGATATAGGCAACAGGACATACATTTGAGATCATTGACTAAGAGTATTGGGACATCTTTCTGCTTGATACATTTGAATAAATAAGAGAGTTGTCTACTGCAACAAAGAAAATGGTATTGAAAAATGATGTGCAAGTGTGTGTGCACTGCACTCCCACCTCTGTAGAATGAGACAACAGTAGAGCAGAGGTCAGGAAACTTGGCCAACCTGTAGGACAAGATCATGCAGCCCAGTCCAAGGTAGACTGGTGCTTCTGACATGACCACAGCTGCTACTGCTCCTCTCTGGTGCTGAATCACTGCAGATGCACACGTAACCCAGCCACTACTAAACACAGCAGAATCTCCCTGCTGAAATGGAGTTATCTGGGCTTTGTAGGCTGGATCTAGCTGGCAGGACTTGGGTTGCTGGCCCTTAGACTAAAACACTCAGTGGAGTAAGCTGTATCCTTAATCATCTGTCTGTGAGAACAGAATGGTGTGCCTCTTGAGTCTTTTAGCCTTATTAATATGAATAGATTCTTAACTTACTGTTGTTTCTTGCAGATACTTCTAGGGCCCAACACAGGACTGTCCGGAGGAATGCCAGGGGCTCTGCCTCCACTTTCTGGAAAGATTTAACTTTTCAGAAGCTGCACTGGATCCATATCCTATTGGAAGACCTTGAAATTACATTTGAACTGTTGAGTTGTCCAGCCAGGGCACTTTTTTTTTTT